TAGAGAGGCATCACCAGTGAGATGGGTAGAAGCCCCAGAGTCAATTACCCAAGGGGATGCTGAAGTCTGTAAATCGGACAAGCATGCAATATTACCTGATTGCGCAAAATTAACCACATCAGTAGAGTTGGGATGTGTCCGGTTGACCAATGCACTGAACTCAGCTCGTGATAATGGCAGTGTCACGGTGTCACTAGTAGATGCAGGTGATGGTAATACAGAAGTCTGACCAAGAGAGTGATGAGACCCCGCAAGGTCAGAGGTAGACACTGCTTGATTTGCCCATACTGGTTTCCATGAAGAGTCCAACAGTTCTCAACAGAATGGTTAGTACCCCTACAGTGGCTGCAAATGCGAGTATCACTACGTCCACGACCACGGCGACTGTGACTTCTATCACGGCCACTACTGCCACGAGAACTACCTGAATTTCCACCATACCCTCTGTTGCCACTAGGAGTATCACGACCTCTGTGGAAAAATAGAAGGAATCATCATAGCTGAATTTTCTTTCACTCCAGTGGGCGTCACATGTGATTGTTCTGCAACCCGAAGTAAGCGGGAATAAATGTTACCCAAAGATGGGAGTCCTCCATCACCAGCAAGGATCTGATCCAGAATATTAAGAAGGCTCGGGTGCAAACCAGCAAGAAAAATGGAAACAGAAAATTCCTCACATTATCGCTTGAGAAAGTAAGGATCAGTAGTCAAGGGATGGTACTGATTCAACTCATCTAACAGGCTTTTGAAAGTGCTGTAATGCTCATCGAGGTGTTGACCAGAGAGGTCAGATTGACGAGAATGGAATATCTTTTCATACAATGAATATATGCGAGAGACATTCGTGTCCATAGAGTAAGTTTCTTTAACTGCATCCCAGATTGCCTTTGCAGTGTTGACAACATAAAAATGGATGTAATGGAAGGTTCCATTTAGTTCCACGACCAGGACATAACCATATAGTTATCAGTTTCCCAATCCTCATATGTTGCTGATGTTTTTGATGGAGGATCAGTTGTAATAAACTTCAGCTTTCGTCGGGCACCTAAAGAAATCTTTACTGCTTGAGCCCATAGTAAGTAATTGGAATTACTTAATTTCATAGATGTAATTTGCAGCCCGACAGGATCAACATGTGTTGTAGAAGATTAAACCCCAGTAGACCCAGAAGCAACATTTGAATCGTCCGACATGGATATATGAATATGTAAAAAAAACTTATCTGCATTAAGTTAAGATGCCAAATCTATACCGAAGAACCAAAGAAACTGTTGCACCCGAGAAGGCCAGAACAGAGTTGAACCGGGAACAAAAGAAGACTCGGAGCAGAACAGACCCGGTCAGTAAATCAGGTCGAACGGGCCGGACCTTAAATCGGGTCGGAACAAATCCGGTTTATGTTAACCTGGATTAGGATAGCGAGAACCCTGTAGCCAAACACCGTTCTTCTTTACAAAATCTCAGCTCTCCAGCAAGCACACAGCGGCAGCGATAGTGGCGGTAGCAATGGAATCAACAAGTAGCGACACAGCTCGCGACAGCCGCCGGTGACCAAGCAACGAGCAGCAACGACGACGACAGCAGTCGGTGACCAAGCAACGAGTAGCGACGACGAGAGAAGGCGGTGAATTCGTTGACAACCAAAACGGCAACAACACGAGCAACCAAACCAGGTTTCAGATCTGAGACCAAGCAACGAGTAGCGACGATGAGAGAAGGCGGCGAGCTCGTCGACAACCAAAACCGCAACAACTTCACCACCATCACGAGCTTTGAACGGATCTATACAAGACGATACAATTGCAATTTCCTAAACTCACAATTTCGATCCGCTCTGATACCATATAAAAATGGAGATTTGTATATAAAGAGAATAGAGATACACAGAGAGAGAGAGAGAGAGAGACAGGCAGCGAGAGAGCAGGGTTTGAGGCTCAGCCCATTTTTCCCTTATATTTTTAACCCTAAAACATAAAGGGGGTTATATATAATACAAGAAAGGCCTATTTACATAATGGCCACAAATCTTATATCTAATTACAATAGGACCCCAGCATAAATACATATATACATATAAGTGTTTTAATATAGATCACATCACTTTTCCTTACCCGTGCACCTAGTGTTCTTCTTTGCACATATTCAAACCATCTTAGTTGATTTCCTCTCAAATTCCAATGACTTTCTACTACAATTTATATGTTTGAAGTGAAGTGAGTGATATTGAGGTTAAACAGTCTTTTTCCTGTGCTGTGTACACATGGGGATTGTAAATCCATTCATCCCTACCTCGAGATTGGTTTGTAGGCTTTTCTGGTCTAGACGTCAATCTACTATGTGTTCATATAAGATTAATTGCATAAAACCCCCTAAATTCTAAAAAAATTGCATATCAATCCCTTGTAAGTTGTAAACACCCTGAAACATAAAAATTATAATTTTTTTGCAAGACATGACCATCCTTTAAGTTAGCATTAGAAATAAACAGTCAAAGCATTGACTTTTGAAAATCCCAATTTGTCCTTTTGGATTAATTGCATAAAACCCCTTGAACTTTTTTATATATATATTTTTGCGTATTATCCCTCCTATTCCAACGTAACATTCAAATTTCTTATAGTTCGGAATTTTATGCAGTTAATCTTAAGGTTAATTTAGTAATTCATTAAGACACATTTAATGGCCACCTAACGACAGTTAAGTTTTTGGCCTTTAAACTTCCAATAGTTTAGGGGGTTAATTTATAATTTCTTATGCCTTTGGATGAATTTTTTGGCTTGAATATGGTAACATCTTCTTGATGGAAGAAGGATTTGATTAGAATCATCTTGATTTGGTTAGGTTTTACATATATAATGTTGCAAACAGTACTCAAAATAATTATGTGTTTAGTAGAGCATGGACAAGCAATTGATTACAGAGTATTATATACCTTTATCCAGGATAACATTGTCTGTTACATTCTTAAACCCTTCTCAACCTGATTTTGGGATGCTATGAGTTTGCAATTGAGAGCTTAGATGCAGTCTCTCTGCTAATGACGTTTGAACATATCTATATGTTTGCCTAATGAAATTATTCTGTTAAATCTTTTCTGAAAATAGTAGTTCAACAGTCAATGCCATGTTTCCTAGATTAAGATGCAAGACCATTAATAGTTTTAAACTGGAGAAAGATTGTGTTCTGCAATGTATTAAAAATATAACATTATGCAGTCATCGTATGCAAAAAATTGATTATTATTTACCTTTATCCAGAAAAACATTGTCTGTTACATTCTTAAACCCTTCTCAACATGATTTTGGGATACTATGTTTTTGCTATTGAGAGCTTGGATGCAATATCTCTGCTAATCACGTTTTAACAGATCTATATATATGTCGAATGACATTATTCTGTTGTCTTTCCTGAAAATAGTAGTTTGACAGTCAATGCCATGTTTCCGAGATTAAGATACTAGACATTTATAAATATAGTCAATCACATTTCGAGATGAAATTAATAGTAATAGTTTTAAACTGGAGAAAGATTGTGTTTTGCAATGTTTTAAAAATAGAACATTATCATGTGCAGTAGGAGAGGGATCGACACATCTACTGCCAATTAAATCTTTTGAATTGCGAAAAACTTAAGTTAAAACTAACAAATCTTACACTATAAATCCAGAATAGAAGAATATTCATATGAACTAGGAGCAGTAGGCCAGTTTATGGACAAAAAATGACATGATTTTTCTGGTAATTCCAACTTATAACCTGGTCTTATCTACACACAATTGCAATGAGCAGTTGAACAAGGACACATGATTTAGCAAGTAATATGAAATATCCATTAGTATCACAAACCGTACTGATTTTATTCAAGTCTTAATCGACCTAAATGAGTAGAGAAAATGGTAAGATAGTGGAATAAGAGTAGTTGCTCAGTCAAGCACAGATGGAGTAAGATTTAAAGATAACTATGAGAATAAATGATAACATTCTCCACCCCCTCCCAAAAATAAAGAAGCTGATACAAAACAAGGATGACGCATTTAATGCAACCATAAGCTCCTGAACTGTCTACCGAAGATTACTTGAGTTTTGAGTTGGGACTTTAAAGCGAATGCATGGAAAAGAATCACCATCTTGGAAAAGAATGTTATAGAGGTTATCCATAGAACTTTTTCCAAGACTAGAGTGCTAGTAGAGATCTTTGTTGCTCCGACAATGTGAGTATAAAAGGATCAACTTTACAACGTTTTGCTGGATACATGAAGTGATTGATCTCTTGGTTGAAAGAGATCTTGGATCAGTTTTAAGCTCATGTCCATTATCGTCTCTTATGCAGACATGCTAGGTTTCACTTCCTCTCCCTCTCTTTAGACCCCTCTGTGCCGGAGAAAAGGTAGTTATGCTTTATCTTCTGAATATCTTTGTTTCCAATGTACTGTTTAAACCTGGTTCTTAAGTGACAAATCATTTATATTTTGATTTTTATCGTTTAGTTATAGCCAGCTAAAAAACTGCAGATGGAAGTATCCCGCACACTTGGCAGAAAGTAGCACAAACTATGAGGAATGATGTTGCTCCTACCACCTAAGAAGCAAAACAATCTAGCAAGGAATCTCCCTAATTTTTATATTAATATTACTCTAATATTGATTTAAATTAAATATTCCACTGATCCTAGCTTTGAATTTGATGATATCTGCTTGTGTATTGGGTGTATTGCACTTTGCTACAATGTTTCTTGTATATTAAAGTAATTCCATAAGATATAAGCACCTTTAAGATCTGTTTGAATAAAACAGTGATGCATCATTGAATTGCGTTCAAAAGAGCTTTCCTGGTGGACTTAGATTTAAATGCTTACCTGGTTAATATTTCACATCGTACTTAGTAGTTGAACCAGAGGGAATGGGAGGGAGGTTACTTGAGGTTTCAGAAACCACTTTCACAGTATACTACTATTTGAAAAGGGGTGTATGCTAATCCACTAGTATGTATTTTTATACACAGATGGGTATCGGCACGGTAGATTCATCTGTATCGGGACTTGGAGGTTGCCCATATGCTAAAGGTGCTTCTGGGAATGTTGCTACAGAGGATGTTGTTTATATGCTTAATGGACTCGGAGTTCGAACTAATGTGGACCTCAGAAAGCTCATGTTGGCTGGGGATTTCATCTGCAAACATTTGGGTAGGTCGTCTGGTTCAAAGACAGCAATTGCCTTGAGCAGAATCACAGAACATGCGTCCAAGCTATAAGTTTTTCACATCAATACACATCTGACCGTGAACATGGGCAGACTCTCATACCACATACAAGCTTATAACGTGTAACAAAGGTCAGGAGTACTAAGTCCTTATCTGCATTAGGCAAGGTTTCTTATTCCCACCTAAATGTTCTCCATTTTTCTTTTTTTGTTTTTTCTTTCCGAAAGATAAATGTTGTCCTTTCTTTTGCCTAATAGACGAAGGATGTCTTTTTATTTATTTATTATTATTATTTATGGGAAGGGATAAACTCAACGACACTCAATTGTTGTCCATATGGGGATGTAAATCTTAGACCCTCTCTCGGGTAAGAAGAAGAGTAGGAAATACCACTTGAGGCTACAGGCTTGTGGTGGTGACAAATGATGTCTCTCTGCAACACTGACAGGAACTAAATGAGTAAAGTCCAAACTTTTTATGAGTCTCTCTATGTTTTCCTTGTCCAATAGAAGAAGATGAACCTTAAATTTAGGGGTGTTAAAGAAAAACATAAATTCAAGATTATTTTGTATCTTAATGCAATTGTAGGATTCATAGAATGGATGGGGACATGTTTACATCTCATCATCCTTGTTGTTAAAAAGTTGCAACCTTGTGATCTTAGATAGATGGTGATCACTTGTATTATGATAAGACTCCTTTTACCGTGAAACAAAATGAAAATCCTCCATGAAAGGCATTCACAGATATGTATGTACAAAGGAAAATGATAGTATACTGTAGTAGCTAGCATTGTTGGAAATAATAGTAGTGGTTGGTTGGGGAATGGTTGGTGATGCAGAATGACAAAGTTCTTTAAACCATTTGATTTTGAAGCATTTAATACCCCTTCTTTTATTGCACTGGGGACTGGTCGGCCATATGGGTTTTTTCACCTCAAGAGTTGAGAGCTTGTTGGCAAGATTTATGAATGACCAATCAGAAGAGGCCACCTAAGCATGAAATCAATTAATGTTTGTTGTTAGTGCTGTAAACTATGTGTCCTGTGGGCTGTGACATACATACACATTTGGCTTTCTGTGAATTTTTTGGGTAATTGGGCTGTGTTGCCTGACCATTTTCTTTTCTCCTATTTAATATGGATGTGTGGCATTATGAGTTTTCAAATCTGTGTTGTGTGTGTGTGTGTGTGTGTGTAAGCTTTTGTTGGGTGTTGTGGATTCCTTTCTGGGTACGGCACGGTAGTAATTGGGAGGGACCCTGGGATTTCAGGCCTTCAATTTTTTCACTTATCAACAACAGCACCTTGTACATGAGGGTAATTTTTTTACACCATTTCAAATTCGTTGTATAAAAAGGATAAAGGCTCCCTCCTTATTGTGGAGCTTGGCCTATTTGCTTTCATAAACGTGTTTCGAGTGGTGTAAAAATAGAATAAGGCTACTTCATTTTTGTTTTTTTTCCCATAAGGCTACTTCATTTGAGGGTGGAAAGAAGTAACTATTGCTGTTTAACTTTTTACCTCATCAGTCCAACTTAACAAAACCTTACAACATACTTGTGTCCTCAAAATTTAAAATTATTACACAGTTTTGGAATCATTTGTCCTCGGCCATTCACAAATAGACAGTTAACAAATAAACAATTGATGATCCACGGAATCATGAAATAATTTTTTTTTATCACAAATAAATAATTGATGATCGAAGGAATCATCATGTAATAATTTCTTGTCAATTATTTATTATTTCAAGTAAATGGTTATTAGAGATGGTTTTACACACGGTTTAATTCATTCCATTTCTAGCTGCCCTGCCCTCTAACCTTCCTTTTTGCAGCTTAGTAACTTTTGTAAGGTTGATCACGAGACTGCCTTTTCAAAATTTGATAGATGCCAATTTACCTATTGGTCTTGATCAGATCAAGGGGCTGGACATGGATTTAATTTTTCTCTCTCTCTCACACACACACACACATATTGGCTTATTCTTACACTTGTAATGGAGAGATTTCACTGTTAAAGACAGCAAATTCAAAAAGCCCCCACCCCTAATTGTTTAACTGGGTCTTGACTTTAAATCCTCCTTTATCAAATTAACATGATTGGAATCAGGAATGAAATGTACACACTTTATACAGTAGCAATTGGTTGGGTTACCAGCTCGTTGTCTATGAATACATTTCTATGAAGTCATCATTGTTGAATTGATTTTATTTTTTTGTTTTGAAAAAAGCATATACCATGCTCATATGAAAGCAAATTAAATGGGTCCATATGAAAAGTTGCAATAATGGTATTTTTTTGTAATAATAATAAAAAAATAGTATACTATATTGTGAAGCCCTTAATTCTTGTTTTCATTGTTCAAAATGAAAAGACGAAAGATTGAAATGACTTTGAGAAAAAGACTGTATATTTTAATAATTTATGTAAATGCAAGTCAAAGAGCACATCAAGGATGATAATGTTTATGTTTTTAGATTGAAAGACCCCTAAAAAATCACATGGATGAATACAGTTGAGGCACCTTTGGTGAAAAAAAGGCAAAGGTGGTCCTTCTGTTTGGACATGAGGTTTCCTGTGCCTTACAAATACAAAGTAGTAGTAGATAGGGAATTTGGTATATAAACAACAAAATAAGGTACGGATAAATATAAATATATACGGAGTATATATCTATCTATATATGTGTGTGTGTGCCGTTGAAAGAAAGGCTTCCCCATTATAGGAGTATCTTTATACTTTATCTATTGGTAGTATGTGCCTGCCTGCTTTTTATCTTCTCCTTTGGGAAACATTTACTTATTTCTATATATACTTGTGTGTGTGTGTGTATACATGTATATATATATCATACTACACACAATACCATCCCTTTACATTTTTAGAGATTAGGAACATAATAAAATAACAAAACCTAATTAAATAGCATATGGCTCGCAAAGGGGGAATCAAAACCAAACATTCAGTGTGTGGGGCCAATCTTAATCATTCGTCAGGAGGACATCACGGTGATTGAAACAAAACTAATATCTCCCTTTCTATTTATTTATTTATTGGGTTGCAATTGGTGAAAATTTATCTAATAATATGGGTAAAACCAATCCACAAAGATTGTGGCATCCTATTGATTTTGGGCCGAATGATAACCCATTCCCACTATGTGCGGGACAGGTGAGTGATACTGGTAGCCCTAACAATTGTATTGTAAAATAGTGTAGGTATGTATAAGTCTTTTCATAGGAAAATGCAGAGAAGACACAGACATGATGGACGCACATATACATAACTCGTAGTATTAAAATAAGAACGTAAACATACCAATGTGTGTGTGTAAAAAAGTATTTACATATTAACCATGAATTTTTACTCATCTTATTGACATTAATTGTGTAAATGTCACCTTTAATTTTTGTTTTTTTGTTTGTATGTTGTACTATTAGTTTTGGAAAACCAGATATTAACCTAAAATGAGATCTCCAATAGTAAAAGCGTATTGAAATCCTTCTGCTCTCTTTATGCAATAAGAGGAAGTGCAAGCTAGGAATAACCAACAAATATACTGTATATAACAAAACACAGATGGATCAATATTCATTACACCAACAACCTCATTAATATTAATTGAGATGATTGATTACCAGTAATTAAAATGTATATTTTGGTGTATATATTATATATTTTGAACAACCAAAATAATATCTTCAACAAAATCACAAAACTAACTTTCCATATACAAATGTAAGTTTACTTAAGACATTCCTGTGAAAAGCAGTTCAGCAAAGCCTCAAGCATCATATAATATTTTCATTGAAAAAAAAAAAAAAGATGAAGAAGAAAAACAAAGAGAACAGAGGAAAATTTCATGGGCTTGACGGAGAAAATCAAGCTATATATATATATATATATATATATATATATTGAATAATTTAATTTTATCTACTACTTTATCTATTGTGCAGAGGGTTTGGACCTGTGTAGACTTTCCTCTTTTCAGCACCAAAAATATGGTCGTCACCATCCTTGTTATCTGCATTCCCTTTGAAGCCGCCGCGATTATGAGTTTTAGCAGGAGTAGCACGACTCATCTGATGAGAAGCAGAAGCAGAAGCAGCTTTGAAATTGGTGAATTTGTTAAACCCAAATGCCAAACATGGACTAGTCTCCAACTGTAACAGAAGCAGCATCAGCAGAAGAAGAGTGGAGAAGCAAGCCAACTGATCTACTTTTCTCAAACCAACCATCTTCTCTACTTTCTTGCTCACAACCCCCCAACTCATCAAATTAATTGACAGGATAGATGGATCCCAACACTTAATAAATCTCTCTCTCTCTCTCTCTTCTTTCTTGAAGTCGTACTGAAGAGAAATGGTGGTTGATTAAGGTGGGGGGTTCTAGTGTGGTGTGAGGTAGAGATAGGAGGAGGAGGAGGAGGAGTATATGATGGAGTGAGGACAAATTTATGGGGAAAAAGAAACCTTTTTTGTTTAGATTACATCAGATGATGCCTTGGAGTTTGAAGAAGAGGGCAAGGCAGCAGAATAGTCAATGGTGCCAAAGAGTCAATACGCATAGGGTTTGCAGCCTCTTTTATTTTTCAATTTTGGTGCAGTACAGTGGGTGTTGTGTTGTGTTGTTGGAAACTTCTTTTCTTACAGATTTCAGAGCCTATTTTTTGCTGCTGCTGCTGGAAAAGCTCTACAAAACATGAGGCACAGAGAGATACAGTGTGTGTGTGTGTGTGTGTTTCAGCTTACTTGTAATTTGAAAGCTCAGCACCAAAGTCTCTTCTCAATCTTTATCAATATGGGGTTCATGTGAGATAAAAATCATTTTCTTGGCTTTTCCTTTGCTTCACCTTGCACTTTTGGGAACCCTCTTTAGTCTTAACTACTTATAACTCGGAGTGTCTCTCATACTCCATCTATACCACCACACACATGTATATACCATACATGTATAAAATTTTGTTCTAGGGAATGTTACCCTAAAGGACCTTACCTTTTTCCCAAAATAAAGTTATAAAGGCGGGCAGGGTATAACAAATTTCCCTCTAAGGTGCTGTTTGGATCTCCATTCAAATGCATATAAATGCTTTCTCTAAAAAAAATCCAGTTCTTTTCATATTGTTTACTAGTATTATAGAGCATTATTTCCCCCCTTTTTTGTACTTTCAAAAGCACCATACGTAGTTAGTAGCCGGAAGAGGAAAGAATTGGGAGTCTGGGTCCTAGGTTTTTTTCGGTGGTGTTGCATCGTGCTTTGGGCACGTTGAACAATTTATTTCCAAAGTTAATAAATTATGTCAAGACTTGATTTACTGTGTTGATTCTCAAAATAAGTTGATGTTATCAACACATTATTTTAATATGGTACATAACTTATTTTAATATATAAGACTCTTGAAGTAGATTTCAAAATAATGCATTAACCGTCCCAAGGGCATAGTGGTGTCGATAGAGATTGGAAAGGTAAGTTCTTAA